TTTTAGAGTTTATACAGTGCTACTCTGGATTTACCAATATCAACACTACAAAATGAAATAATCCAGGCTAGTATTTACAGATTTAGGTGTTAATTTGTTTTGTTTTTTACTGAAGAGGGAAGGGATTTTTAGAACTGAGCTTCAATCTTTTCCTCTGGGAGAAAAATATTTTTGGTTAGGTTTGGTTTATTTGTCTTAGTACTATAAAACAAAATTATGCTGGCAAGCAACTAATTATGAAAATCAGGAAATAATCATAGCTTTCTTAGTGATACTACTGTTAAATAGGATTGGTGTCTGTTGTGTGCATGTATTTCTGGAAGTCAAGGTGACTTTAAGCAATTCAGGCAGAAGCTGGGTCCAGGTAAAGTATGACATCATGATGTGATTAGTTTGGTTTTGGCTTAGTGGGATGTATGTATCCAATCTGGCTTACACAGTCATTTGAAAAAGTAAGTACACCCCATTGAACTTTTTGACTTTTTCAACATATGTCAACATACAGATCTTCATGTCAATAATATTGATAAACATGACATAAAAAAAAATATCACACACTATTTACATTTTATAGTTCATTGTATAATTTAAATAAACATAAATGTAAACTTTGCATGTGGAAAAAGTAAGTCCACTCAATTTATCACTACCTCAAATACCTAAAATTAGAATTAGATGACCAAATTAGGTTCTTCCCAGATTCTCTCTAAAGATGTTCTATCTTATTCAAATGTCAGACATTTAGTTTGATTTGCTCTTTGTTGTTGAAGTGTTTGGTATTCCCATACCTAGACTGAAAGAGCTCTCTGAGGACTTCATAAAAAAAGGTTATAGATGCCTATGAGTCTGGGAAGGGATTTAAAAAGATCACCAAACAATTGGACATCAATCATTCCACTGTGGAGAAGATTTCAAATAACTGCAAATTTGCCCAGGCCAGGCTATCCTAGGAAGTTCAGCCAGAGAGCAGAATGTAAGATGCTGAAAGCAGTCTTTAAGAACCCCAGAATTTCATTACTGATTTACAGGTAAATTTTGGCACTATTGATGTCAAAGTGCATGAGTCTACCATTAGAAAGAAGCTGCATAGATTAGATCTACATGGGAGGTGCACAAGGAAGAAACCTTGGCTGTCCAGAAAGAATATCAGGGTGGTAATGTTTGCTCATGATCAGGCAAAGACCAGGACTTCTGGAGCAATGTGCTCTGGACAACAAGGCAAAGATAGTTATTTAACCACAGCATCAAAAGATGTGTTTTGTAAACACCAAAGACAGCAATTTCACCAGAAAAACCTGATACCAACTGTAAAGCATGCTGCTGGAAATGTTACGATTTGGAGCTGCTTTGCTGTGTCGGCCTGGGCAGCTCACCATCGTAGAATCTGTCTTCATTCTGCTAGAGGGTGCTTGGAGATAATGTGAGGCTGTCAAAAGATTGGAAGCCAAAAGTGGACCTCACTATATGACAATGACCCTAAACATTTTATTAAATGGAATATTTATGAGTGTCCGGAAGTTTCAACTGTCCAGAATGTGGCAGCATGGACAATTTTAGGTGCATCAGGATCAGCACATATAACACCTTTGCTCTGTGAGCTGCGCTGGATGCCAGTTTGCTTCCGGGTCCAATTCAAGGTGTTGGTTATCACCTTTAAAGCACTACATGGCATGGGTCCAGGGTACCTGAAGGACTGTCCCATCCAGTCATGCAGAGAGGGCATGCTACAGACCCCATCTGCAAGAGAATTTCACCTGACGGGGTCCAGGAGGCGAG